TTCAACTCAAATGTTTTATAACTTTGTAAATGACAATAAACGAGAGATATTTTTTAAATATATTGAGTTCTATTTTGCTGTCTGTTTCCCTAACACCTACAATGGTAGTTGAAATAGGCTGCAAGTAAGAAAACTTTGACTGATGACATGCCTTACTTTTATTAATGATAATAATAGTCATAATAATCTGTGCATTTGATATAGAGTTTTATCGCATCATTCATGTCTTAAGCGTTCAGCAAAAATTGCTCTAAAATGTAGTGAATTTAAAAAAAGCAAGGTATAAAATCGCAATAGTTAATATAGGAAGAAGGGAAGCGTTAAATGAATTACACGTAAAGAGGGCAAGGCACCTGATCCAGCTGGACTGCACCCAGAGATCCTCAGGGAAACTAGGGAGGAGATAGCTATATGTATATATATTATATATGCATTGGAGCATTAGTCTAACGAGAGTGAAGGCGAAAATGCTAACAATTTAGTCTGACTGACTCGGTTTTATTTTCAAATCTTTCGTTTGCTGTTTTAGTGAGCAAATAGAAGGAAAGCATGACTCCATGGAGGAGATCTCTAAATGGGGAAAACTTGTACAGTATTCAATAACTGTCAACAATGAATTCATGTTCCCGGTACTTGATTTTAAAGTGATCCAGTAACAGTCTGTTGATCTGCACTTGGAACCAGTTGTGTTAGTCAGTGTAGCTGTGTGTTTTTGTAAAATTAAATTAAAAGTGGAAAGCTTGTTTGGGAATGTCTTAACTAGTCCATTTTAAGACTTCATGTGCCATAACTCTAAAATTCATTTCAGAGCAGATGCTGTCTCTGAATTTGGACTGTAAATACTTTGGAATAATTTCTTCTCCTGTCCAAAAGGCTGTTTTTGTGAGCACGTTGCCAATTTTAAACGGGCGAAATTTGATTCTGCATTGTTTTTCCAGTTTAATTTTTTCACATGTTCAAATAAATTGGAGACTGACCAACATATTACCTTTTCAAGGATTTTAATTAAAAAATATTGCCTTGATTTTTTGAGTCACAAACTGTTCCAATGTTATTTTGACCAATGGGAGTGAGTGATTGTTTGGTACGTTAGCTCAACAAATAGATGGTCCACTCAAGAATTGCTGATTGTAGCAGAGACCCATCGCGAGCATTAAATCTGGCGAATTTAATGCATCTGAAAGGGAGATCCTTCTCTACCACTTTATAGCAGTTGATTTTAAGTTATTTTGAAGGACTTACATACTGTAAGTGAGACTTAAGGCCATCTTAGCCAAATATTGCTGAAATGCTACTGTGGTGTCATCTTTCAAACTGAATTCAATTTATTTGAAAAGGAAACATAAGACACTTTGGAATAGCATAGCTTTTGGACACATTTCTAAAATGGTGACTGATGGAATTGGCGAAAAATCAAGTCAGTGGTTTTTGACAAAGAAAACTGTTTCAGATAGAACCATGTTATTAACCCAGATGGTTTATTTGCCCTGGCCAACAAATAAAGTTGGTCATTCACTTTGGGTCTGTTTGTAGGACATTACAATGAGCAAATTGGCTACTGGGTTAGCTGACTTTTTTAAAAAAATACAAACTCTACATTTCACAGTATGAAGCTATTTGGGGCGTCCTCCCGATGTGACAGGCGTTGTACCAAATGTATAGCATGATATAGCAACAAAATAATTTTTTATTGATATTAACAACACACAACTTCATTAAACTTCTTGCTTCTTCTGTCCATTATTATTTTAAATGTCTCTGATAAATCAGGGAAATGCTGCTCTAGCTACTGTGTTCAGTACAATCAGCTTTCATACATATCAGACTCATGTTGGGGAGAACGGGGAGGTGACTGTAGGTACGATCGAAGAGGAAAGTCTTCAACAACAACAAGATTACATTTGTATAGCGCCTTTCACGTTGGCAGGACATCCCAAGGCGCTGGACAGAGTACAGCATTTCAGACCCGAGCTGGGTTTTGGGGGCGGGGGGAGGAAGGGAGGGGAGAGGAAGGTGGGTGGCCGATGGCATGGTCTTGAGGAGGGTCTTGAAGTGGGACTTGAAGGAGGCTAAGGAGGGTCGAGGCGGAGTGACTGAGTGATGAGATCTGAAGACAGGCAAAGAGGGGGTAAAGCAGAGGGATTGAGGCAGAGATTTCTAGAGGTTTTGATCATAGTGGCTGAAATCACGGCTGCTGATGGTGATGTTGAGGGGCTTGCAGAAGCCGGTGCTGACCGAGCAAAGGGGGCAGGTAGAGGAGTGGAATGTGTGTAGATTGGAGAGATGGGGAGGTGCCAGGACATGAAGTGATTTGTAGATGAGTGTGTCCAGCAGCATAAGAGACTCGATTTAACATACGACTGAAATGATTACTGCAGGCTGTGGACTAAAGCCTACTGATGTGATTTTCAATCACTTTCATTCCTTTCTGTACATGCTGATTTTCTTTTATCAGCAGAAAATGTTAAGTTTTTTTAAAATGATGTCCAAAAAAGGTAACCATTGGTGAAGCTCCCTTTTTAAACTCTTTACTGTTCTGATCAGGGTTTGTATTTATAGATTTAGAGCCATGAGCTCTTTTCAACCGTTAGTGGGTCTAATATACTGCTTCAAAAAGTTGGGTGAGTCACTGAAGCATCACAAACTTTGTTTTATTTGGGGGGGAATAAATTGGTTAATCTTAATTTATTTTCCATTCCGACTGCCATCATAGGAATCTCACTCCAGGTACCGGTCCAAAGTTTACAGCATTTGAACCTCTTTTTTAAAAAAAACCCGATGAATAGGAGTAAAGTTATGTTGCCTGGACAGCCAAAGAGTAGATCAAAAGCTTGACAGTTTTGGACCAGCAAAGTGATGTCTGTCCTTGGTGAATGAGCTGAAACTTGATATCAGTATAGTATGACTAATGGTGGATGGGTGGAATATTTACACTAGAAATTGCACTCTGGCGTGAGCTTTGTAGAATAAATGGATCTTTTCAAAAATGTATTTCTTGAGCATTATGTCCTCACCGTGATGTGAAGAATGTTGGGCTCTTCTGATTTTGGCAGCTACCATCTGTATCCTGCACTTTCAGGCCAGATACCATATTAGCTCAGTTAGATGCAGAGTAAAGCTCCCTCTCACTGCTATACTGCTGTGAAAAATGTCCTTTGCCACGCTGACTATTATCTCTGACCTGTTTGACTGAATCTGATAATTTAGGACCAGATTATCCTGTAGACATTTGCCTACAAGGATGCTTACATTTGTGATGGAAGAGACTTTCCCCTCAGCCTGTAATGCATTTAGAACCCAAATTATAGAGGTAAAGGTACATTATTCAAACACATTGTACTGCTCAGTCCCTTAAAGGCAGCCTTTACTCTTTATTTGCACAACAAGTAGTAAAATCATATGGAGAATTTTGGTTTACTAAAGTGAATGGCCATTCATTGGATATTTATTTGAAGTTGCATGCCAAATCGTTCTATCCAATCTACTTAAAATCAGATCGATTTCAAGATCCCCATGCATCGATTAGAATATCCTCACACTCGCATACAAATCACTTCATACCTTGTCACCTCCCTTCCGCTCTGACCTGCTTACACTCCACTCTACTACCTACCACGTTTGCTCAGCTGGCTCCGGCCTTCTGTATGTCCCTTTTGCTGCCTTCAGCCACTATGCCCCGAAACTATGAAACTCTCTGCCTTGTTTCCTCCACCTTGCCCCTCCTTGCCCATCTTTAGATTGTGCCTGAAGACCTTCCTTTTCACTGTGAGATGCTATCCTGCATGAAGGGTGCCTTATAAATTCAAATTGTTGTACTGTTGTTGCTGAAATTTCTTCAGCATTGTGCACCATATGCTTTCTTTTTTTTCATTTACGCTGAAATTAATGTTAGTCGTTAGAACATTTACAGATAAGCTAATTGATAGTCCTGTGCTTAAATCCTGGTTAATAAGCTACCAGGCTGGTTTTGAAAGGATTGATTCATTTCTAATAATGTCAACCTTTCGTGCTTGACCCAGCATGATTTATTCTCTTGACAACCTAATGTCGCTGCCTCTAGCCATTATTTGCTAGATAATGCATGATTCCTTGTTACTTCAACACTGTACTTCTTTGAATGCAATCAGTTATTACTGCACATCAACAATTAGTCTGTTTTCTCAATTAGTTCCCCAAACTGGTGTATTTGCACCTGTAAAATCGATGTTTATGTTTATGCCTGTTAGTTTATGTGAGGAACCCCATAATAATAAAAGTAGTGTCAAACATAAAATTATGCCCAACAAAAATGATCTCCAGTATTGAACTTCAAAAATCTGCATGAATTTTGTTACAAGTAAATACAAACAACCTGAAATTGACATTTCATAATAAACTTGAATTTTATGTAAAATAACTCGATGTTTATGCTGTGCCCAGTCATGTTGACAGAACAAAACAGCAGTGCTCCAGATAGTGATGTAGTTCAATTCTTTCACTTTAAGGACTTTTATAAGTTATGAGTTTTCAAAATGTTGTTATTGCATGGTATATTGTTCATTCAAAGTGTGGTCACGCTTTCTGTTCAGAGATGTTTAACTTCCCTTGCTTTAGTTGCAGTTCCTTTTAAAATACCTGTCATCTGCTTCTTGCCACAAGAATCATAATGGATTCACAAACTTAGTAGTGGGCCTACACATTGGACATTCATTTGTATTTGATATTGTGCCTTATCATGTCATTGAGACGTCTCAAAGCGCTTCACATTCTATATTGTAAAGTAGATTGACTGTATTTTGTGGGCGAATTTGCTCCTCTTTTGCTAATCTAGAATTCCATATTTAGTTTACCTTTACTACTGAATCAATTTCAGTCTAAAATATGCTGCATTAAACTTGTCCCTGGGGGGGAAAAAAAGACAGCTTTTTGAAGAACCTGTTGCTGAATTCGTGATTATATAATGTAAATTCAGAAATAGTTGAAGATGAGTTTTCATCGTGGAATTGTCGTTTGTCCTACAGGTTGTGCTGAAGATCATCAAACATTTCCAGGAGGAGGGTCAAGGCAGTGAAGTAGTTCAAGGAGTGCTTTTGGGGCTAGTAGTTGATGATCGTCTTGAAATTACCAACTGCTTCCCTTTCCCTCAGCACACAGAAGAGGATGCTGACTTTGACGAAGGTATGCTGTGGATCATAGGAAAGTTCAATTCAATTTGGAACTTGGAATATTAGTAACAGTAATAGCAAGAGTAAAAAGTTGATCCGGGTAGGCGAACCATGTAATGTCTCAAAAGATTTCTTTGGTGCACACAACTCTCCTTATCCAAAATCCCTGGATGCTTTTGATTTTCAGAAACTTTTCCGCTTCCTCAATGAAACTCTATACTCTAGTCCCATCGCACCACAATTCTAGGTTTCTAAATATTCTAACTAATATCTCAATGAATAAGCATTCGAATTTTAACAAGTGGATTGTGGCAAAGCCAGAGTTAAAATATTGTCAGCTTTCAACCTTCTCTGGGGGTGGGGTGTGCGGTGGTATTTCTTTACTTTTAATTTCCTTGTCAGATTTTTCACCACACGATGGCGCTATTTAAACAGTAGTTTTCAACTTTATGGTGGTTTGAAGCTTATTCTGATTGAAAAGGAAATGCTCATTACTGTGTTTCCCTTCCAAAACGGAAAAAAAATCAATACTTCTGGCAACAGCCCAATAAGTTCAGTTTGACTTTGCAACAAAGACTTTAAGGTGTTCTATCTCATTCCCCAAAAATAATAATGGAAACTTTGAAACCTCACTCCAGTATATATATGATTTTTGCTTTGAGTTAATTTATCTTATTTATTTCACGTGAGCACCAAATTGAAATGGGAAGGCCTTATGCCAAATTAACTCTTCAGTAATGAATGATTTAATTGATCTAGTTCAGTGTTGTCAATAAATACTGTTATCATTGGTACAACCAAGACTTACTTAAATTTATCACTGCTTTTCAGTATCAGAATACAGTATTGTAGTTATTCCTCAATTTTGTTAGGATGTTTCATTTTGAGTTGAAATATAAAAGGCTAATTCTTTGGTTTGTATGCATGCTTTGCATTCGCTGCAACATTTGGCTTTTTTTTACTTTTAGAAGTCAAATTGACAAACTTGAGGGTGCTGTATAATGTTTAATGGTTGATTCTTGTTTCCTCCTGCTTATTTCCATTTAAAGGAACTTTAATGCTTTAATTCTTTAATGCTATTAAAGAATAATGGTGAAGTTTAAAGAGCATTTCCACCGGCAATGAAGTTTGTGTTTATGCTGGTGAATACAACAGAACTGCAATGTGAATCTCACAAGAGGAGGAAAGTAGAATTTCCAATCTTATCTGTACACCTGAGGATTTAGCAGAGCCAGGCTCTATCCTGGAGGGAGGGCAATTGGAGTTCTATGCAAGATGCTCTCATACACTTAACACCTCAGAGAGCTACATTGCTGGAGGCCTTGGAATAGGTCGCAAACCGTCAGTTTGAGATGAAGTATGCAATGGAAATATTTAAGAAAGATGTGGAAATTGCCATGAAGAGTGATTTAGCTCTCCAAATTATTTATTCTGTTTGACTTGAGATAGCTGCGTAGAGGGGATACATTGAATGTAATTTGAGCTGAAGTCCAGTAAATGAACCATCAAAAGCTGCATTTATTCACGACATTTAACTTCTCTAAATAAAAAGCAGCCAAATATTTGGAGTGAATTTCTCTTATGGGTTATTGTGAGCATATTGAAATAGCCTTTAGATGCCAACTCAAACGGATAGCATGCAAGCAAAGACATTTTGAGACTTTTGAGGCATGATTACATATTATAAAACTGGAAAGGAATTAATTAAGTTTCAGTAAGTAGTGGTAATGTACTGTTTCAAAATATGTATTCCAGGCACAAATACTCTATTTAATGAGAATAGTTTTGATAATTCAGGTGGAGATTATCTAAAGAAAATATCTAGTGATCTGCCATTCTCCTAAATAGTTAATTCTACCTCTGAGCAATTAATTGGGCAATCACATCTTTATATCATTGTCTAAAAGAATTGGTTCAGGAAATGTACAACTGTTCTAAACTCAAGCCTTAAACTGTGTGGGTTGAAAGGCCACTTTCCCCAGAAACTCACCAGGCTCTTAAAATGCTGGTGCATTCTGAACAACCATTTTAGCTCAGAAGATACTGTATATTGGGGTGATTGACTGCCACCATCATAAATGTATTCCCATGGATTTTAAATGCGCTTTTTGCGCATTATTATTATTATTCTCTATGTGGCTTGTCTAACACAACAGAATGTCATTGCAGTATGTTGATGCAGCATATTGCTCTAAACCAGCAAGCTTTGTTGATTTTAAAGATTCAATGCTCCATTTGTTATTAATAAATTTTCATCCCCAAAAATTAGCTGATCTGAAGGTAAGTGCTGCAAACAGAAATTTCCTGTTCTTATTCAGAGGTCCAGTTTGGTTGCGGGTGTGGTTGCCATTTTCAGTGGAAATTGTTGGAAGATTTTGCTGTACTTAATATTACAAAACAATATTTTCAAAGTATATTATAACAGTTGGGTGAGGATAGTACATAACTGTATTTAAGTGGAAACAAGCTTAGTACAGTTAGTACACTGCATTGAGTAGGAAGAGAACTAGACCTTTTTAATGTTGTGCTTTATAGAATGAAAGGTTTATAAAATAACAACAACATAATTACATTTGTATTGCTCCTTTCACATCAAGGGGACGTCCCAAGGTGATGGAGAGTCTTAGAGTTTTGGACCCGAGCTGGGGCTCGGGTTTGGGGAGAGTGGAGGACAGGGGTGGAAGCAGGATGATCGAAAGCACGGTTGAAGAGAAGGGTTTTGAGATGGATCTTGAAGGAGGCAATGGAAGGGTCACGGCGGAGGTACTGCGGGATGTAGTTACAGAGGGTGGGGGCGGAGTGGCAGAAGGCCCGCCTGCCAGTGGTGGGTGGGTGAGGCGGGGGAAGTGAATCAGGCCAGAGCCCGCTGAGCGGAGGGAGCCGGCAGGATGGTAGAGGGTTAGGAGGTTGCAGGTGGGTGGGGGAACGAGACCATGGAGGGCTTTGAAGGTGAGGACCAGGATCTTGAACTGTATCCTCTGTGTGATGGGAAGCCAGTGGAGTTGGGTGAAGATGGGGTTGATAGGGACACGGAGCCTGGTCTGGGAGAGGACATGGGCTGCAGGGTTCTGGATGATCTGCAGCCTGTGAAGGGAGGAGTTGGGGAGGCCGACAAGCAAGGAGTTTTCACAGTCAAGCCTCGATGTAATGAATGCGTGTATGAGGGTTTCAGCGACTTGCAGTGTGAGACATTGGCGGAGCCGGGCGATGTTGCGGAGGTGGGGGAAGACAGAGCGGGTCATGACACGGATGTGGGATAAAAAGGATACTTGAGGGTCAAACGAAACGCCAAGGTTCCGGACTGGCTTAGTAGGGTGGAGAGTGCAACCATGGATGGCGATGCTGTCAGTGCCTGAGGTGTGGAGGTACTGACAGGAGCCAATCAGGAGAGCCTCGGTCTTATTGTCATTCAACTGAAGAAAGTTAGGTCTCATCGAGGACTTGATGTCTGACAGACATTCTGTCAGGACAGCAGTGGTCCTGGATTCAAGGATAGAGGTAGAGTTGGGTGTTATCGACATACATGTAGAAGTTGACTCCATGCCTGCGGATGATGTCACCAAGGTGAAGCATATAGATATTGAAGAGGAGGGGACCAAGAGCAGAGCCCTGAGGAACGCTGCAAGAGACGGTGCGGGGGCTAGAGGAGAAAACGGTTGTGGAGGTGAAATGGAGACAATGTGAGAGGAACGATCTGAACCAGTCAAGGACAGAGCCATGAAGGTTGGGGTGAGAGGAGAGGCGGTGGATGAGGATAGAGTGGTTAATGGTGTTGAAGGCAGCAGAGATGTCAAGGAGGACGACGAGGCAGAGGGAGCCCTGGTCGCAGATGGACAGAATGTCATTTGTCACTTTGACAGGGCTGTTTCTGTATGTTTTGTATGGATTGCTTGCTATGTAATGCAGTAGGATGAAAAACTACTGGAAGTGATCTTTAATTGAATTTCAAGTATTTTCCTTAAGTAGTGATTCAAAAACGCACAAAATTAAATTTTTTATTTCAATGAATTTCAAGATGTACTTTTATTGGAATAATTTTCTATATCATTACTGATATAATTTACTAGCATGTTCTGTTTCTTGTTATTAAAGAGCTCAGCAAGATGTACAAAAGAGGACGTTTGAAAAGATGAATTATGCAAGAATGCATATGTATTTAAGGGGCCTCTTTCATTTTCTGGTTTAAAAAATCTATATTCAACATTAGGATCCACTAGAAACCAATCTTTCGTATTGAGGTCTTTTTGATTAAATAATGAGCAAACTATACATCAATAGTAGTTGTGTGTGTTACCATCTGTTGTATAGATACTATATTTAAAATGCAAAATGACTAGTAGAACATGACTGGAGACAAAGAATTGTATCAGTAGGCAAAACATTGCCACTGATGTTTTTAAAAATTAATTACCTCTCATTCTAATTGGGCACACAATATTCTAGAGATTCCTGTTTATGTACAAATACGAACTGAATGAGAAGCACATACATTTGCAGTTCCTTAAATATTCCAGTTTACTTTGTAATGAGCAAATATTCTTCTGCCCCATGGAATTAGAAGGCCATAGTGAACTTTCTTTTAAATAATCCTATAAATAAGTCATCCTTTCATTTGATATAAAGCCTTTCATATCAGCATGACATCTCAAAGCGCTTCACAGGATTTACTGTAAAATGTAGTGGCTGTATATTTTACAGGCATGTGCCATAAATGTCCTAATATTTACTGAAGAAAAATATCCAGTTTTTCACCAGGAGGCTGTTTGAAGGGCTGAACTAATAAATGCATAGAATATTCAAGAGCACCTGGATTTTATTAGGACTTGGATAACTCAGTCGTGCTTGCATTTTGACTTGTCAGCTTTTGTAGTTCTATAGTTATGGGCCTCTTTCATATTTTAGTTATGTTTTTAATGTAAAACAAATGCATCAAAAGTACAAACTGTATTAATTTCCACAAATAAGAGTTGATCTGTGCTGAAGTGGAACTTTTTGGAGACAATGGACAATTTT